TTTAACTTATTGGTTTTAACTTACGCTTCAGTATCACATTGATTGAAATTTGCCGTCACCACCGGCAGTGACTTCGGCTGGCTGTCGGTCGATTTCTTGTTGATTGTCATCTTGCCGGCCTGCAACACACACCGTACAGTCTTTGGATTTGTATTATGATTGTTTATGGTGCGAAGGCACCTACACCTAAATGCACATACGTTTTGATTAACAACCCCTAAAATTCTAACCCTGTACAATGTACTACTTAAGATTACAATTCCTAATCGTTCGGCGCTCTACTTCAAACCTTGGTTAGCGGGCGTTCGGCGAGAGTTTGAGAGGCTAAATTTGTGAATGTGAATGTGATATATGCAAATACGGGTCCTTTTGGTTGCAACAGCTAAAATATATTTGGGCCCCCTCCTATAACGGACACAGATTGCTGACCAACCCATGATTAACGAAACATCAGCAAAATCTCTCAGCGATCATCAAAGCCAAAGAATTTTTTTCAGTGAAAACTCTCCCGCTGTACCTACGCGCTTCGTGATTAGCCAGAAGACAAATTGTTAGCAATTTTATGACATCAGTGAGCGACTGTTGTGGTCATTAGACATATTACACTACGTTCACAATACGTTTTAAAGATTACCTGGTTGAAAAGCTTCATGGCGACTTTCCCGAGGTCCATTTTTACGAGGGGATCATCCCATCCGAAAGGCAAAGAAGATTTGGCAGCTTCTTGCATCGCACCAGCCTCGGAGAAGTCTACGGAAAAGGACAAACAACTGTGCTCAGAATTCTACTTGATAGGACAGGCGATTTTGCTTAAAATTTGGATAACACTTTCCAAATGATATTTCATTTTTGTAACACATGTCATCAAAAATGCACTCACCAGCTGCTTTGGTCCTCCCTACGACAGAAAGACACGCCTTAAGTGCTGTGGTCTTACCCACAGCAGGTGGGCCCGACGCTATGACAATTGGGGCTTTTCCCTTGTTAGCGACGACCAGGTCATAGTGAAGGCTCATCACAAGCCCCCCCATCAGTGTAGCCGAGGCTGGCCAGTTGACCTTGGGCTGAAAGTAATCCTTCATAGCTAGGAACAGTCGTCGGAGAGCACCTCCGGTCCTGTCCTGTGGCCCAACATTTTCAAAAGCTACCACGTTGGTCGGTTCCTTCTGGACGTCCCAAATGTATCGGTCTTTGACCGGTACATCTAAACCGTCCTCACTCAGTTGGAGACTCTCGCCTAACACCCAGACAGGTGGGTCGCCTGGCTGTTTTCCAATGTACTGAAAGAAAGAGAAACCAATATTGGAACCTGTTGTAATAATGTCCAAACATGAGCGGTAGGCCAATGGATTCTCGTTTAAGAAAGGGATAGGAAAGACAGCGGACTGTGGGCCGGTTGGGAAACGAAAAAGTATCATTATAAAAGACAACAAATCACAAGAAAAGTTAATCTTGAGCACTACTTGTGTATATCCTTGATTTATATCAGTTTCAATCGTTTACGCAAAACGGCCTGACCTAGCATCGGTTAGAAATGACCATAGAATTTGTTTATGCATCCTTCTGGACAAGCGTAGAAAAAAATGAATTTTAAATTTTCGTTAAATTCAAGTAATCGAGGAACAACTTTGAAGTACTTTCAGTGACTTACTAATCTCTATGCAGAGCTACTGGGTGGAGAAGATCGTGATGATTTTCATCATATGGCCGATTGTGTTCCCACTTCCTACCAGTATTGACGGAAAACAGATAGATTCTCAAGTTCACTATTTTCCACCCAACCTCTGCTTAGAGAATATCCAACGAACTTGACCGTGAATTTCTATTCATTCATACGACAAGACTAAATCTTATTCCACAAATCCAACCGATATTGTTGAGATTTCGGCATATTTGTACTTCTGCACTTGGCATAGGGTAGGTCCCGTACAAAGCCCATGCGTACGAGGGGCAATAAGATGCTGTCATTTTCTAGTTAAATTGACTGTCCTGGTCGTCATTGATGATAGCGGGAAGTTGTCCCGTTGCTTTTCTGCATCCGCAGGTGTCTGTCACCGACTTCCTTGTAATGACATTCTACCATTCCATAATGATCCATATTTTGATAGTGTAGTAAAGTAAGTAACGCACACGACAGTTAAAGACGATATTACGTCAAAACGACGTCGTGTGCGTCACTTATTTTACTACATTATTAAATTATGGATCATTATGAAACGGTAGAATGTCATTACAAGTTATAAAATTATATGGGTACTGTGCTACAAGGTATTAAACGTGTGCGTGTGCAGACCAGCAACGATACAATTTCCCACCATATTTTCTTATCTTTTCGTAAATTTTAGACGTCATGACGTCAAAACGACATAGTCTGCGTTATCAATTTTACGAAAGTTTCAAAGTATGGATCATTATGAAAGACTAGAACGTCATTATTAGTTGTAAAATTTTACCGTTCCTCTACAACAAGGTGTTAAACGTCTCTGAGAAACACCTGTGGGCACTTGGAAGCAACGGCAGTTAACTTCCAGCCATCTTTTCCTCAATTGAAGACGACATGACGTCAAAACGACGTCGTGTGCGTTACTTATTTTACTACAGTATCAAATTAAGGATCAATGTCATTCTTCAAGACCAAACTTGAATCGGCGGACAGCTTCAGTTTATACACAACCGCATTCCTCTAGAGCAAAGGATTTGCCAGTTCTGCTATTTAGGCCATAGCATGTAAATTTTACGGATGACATCCTACACAGACTTCAAATCTAATGAGCGCGGGCGAAAACAAAACAAGGCGGACACCAAAAAACAAGATTCCTACATTTTCAAATTTTGACATCATAAACCTTGTCAATCACAAAATGATATACCTATATTGTGCTAAGTTTACTGCCAGCTATTAAAACATCCATTTCTCAATGCAACAACATTGAAAAAAATTGGCATTTTCAAATCATTGTACAAAAGGTTTTGATTCCATGGGAACATCACGTATACACAGCCACCATCACATATGAAAGGAATGAAATATATCACTGCATCAAATTACATGTAATAGATAAAACATTAAATCAGAGCCCTTTTTTGTTTCCTCTCTTCACATTTATCTGCAATTCACGTTCCAGCGTGGCAAAGGACGTCTTTGCACTGTCAGAGGACAACAAAACCTCTTTTTTTTTTCCAAAATAGGGCGAAAACTAATGCGCGCGCTGATGTCATCCATAAAAATTACTTGCTATGGCCTTAGACAAATAGCAATTCATTGGTACTTTCTGGTATCATCTATGTTTCAGTGTGATATTTAATGGCTTATTCCAGACCATTCTCAAAAATTCCTTATCTGCGGTTCGGCTTTATATGGGGATCTAGAGAATTTTAGTGTTTTCGCATCGGTACTACTTTGTACCCGAACTACTTTTTCGCCCATAAATACCGTGTACTGCGACCTTCACATACCATTGATTATTAATATAGTTTGTCAATCGAAAAAATACTTCTTACCCAATAATCCCTGGAATTTTTTTTGTCTGACGCGTCTCCGTTCCCAAGAAACGGTTCATAGAAAGAAGATGCGTCTTTTTAATGCAGGTATGCAGCGCCCCCTGACAAATCTCATCAAAAGTACAGTTGGTTTGTAATTATCATTTTGATGTGGCGAAAACAGTAATTTGATGCTTTGTGTTATACTTCTGGTTAGTGCTTTGTGTTATGTGCATGTTGTTTTCATATAAACCTGAAAACAAATCGCGAATTCAATCTGAGAGATGCGAAAACCTCAATGAGTGGTTCAAAGCAAAGGGCGTATTTAATAAAGACATCTTCATACAAATCACACCTTATCAAGCACAAAAAAGCAGGGACGTTCACATTTCACAAATAGATGGAAAGCGCACAGGAGTTATGAGAAATGTAACACCTACACCGTAATGGCATTCGCACTGAAGCCATAGAAGAAGATCAAAGCATTGTCACCTCCATATACCCCCTTGATGTGAAGTTAACCAACGTGTATGTGTGAGTTTGGGGACATCCCCTACTGTGGGTTGGCGACACTCGTCTGCCACCCACATGTGAGACTTTGAGAACTCGCACGGTTGGAGTTGTGACGACCGAGCTTTCTGTCCGAGAAAGCGATTGTCAGAAAATGTACTGTTTGGACGCTTATGCAATCAAGATTGTCAGGGAATAATGGCCTGTGTTTTATGTACTATTGGTACACTTTATCAACTTTCTCCAAGTATTACATGGTTGTAAAACATTTCCGAAAGGACGAAACATGACGAGAAGACGTAAACCAATCCCGCAATTTATGGTTTAGCCCGTTACCATATGCATGGCAACGACCATACTATAAGTTACGAACCGCACCATGCGCTGCAAAAACGTGGATCTACGCCTGGACGTCGATGTTTTTCTAATTTTTGACCCATCAGCCAACGTTGATTTTTATGAATATTTTTCGTTTTTATTTAAGGTCTCACACAAATTAGGGCCTCCCACTGAAATCAGTGCTGAAATAAGCAACGTTATGACTGAAAATAATAAAAAAACCGAATAATCCACAGGAGAGGTTTCTGTTGTAAGCACACGCGATCGTCGTGCAAACAAAAGAAATGTCACAAAAGTTAACCGTCACAACACTAATTATCGCATCTGAAACTGCAATTAGACACTATCCGCAAGAGGCCCTCTTGTGCGACAGCACCTGACCGCACCACTCATAACAAAATGTGTACACGTCCGACCTATCGCTCGGATGGCGAAACTTTCCTTACCAATCCTGACAGTAATAAACAAGGTTTCGTCTCAAATTCTTTTGATGTCAGGTGGGGACAATGAAAGGCATTTTATGATCCCCATAACCACACGCGTTTCAGGCCCAGTACTTTTTTTGGGCCGGACTCCTTTGCAATGCACACGCGGCGTAATACAGGAATGAGACGTAATACAGGAATGAGACCTTCAAGCACATTTGACTTTGACTGCGCGGGAAACACATCTGTCCAGACTGTAACGTGTCGCCCATGCGTTGAACCACCTTGGATACCTGGATACCTGGATACCGCATACGACAACGCAGAGACAGAAGATACGGTAAGTTTGTGCAGTATAGCAATATTTTGGAATTTACACTCGCTGGTTTGGATTGCGAAACTGTGTACTGCTAACTTGGGGATCTTTGTTGAAGACTACCAGTCAAGGACGCTATTTGCCGTGAACTCATTGCATATATCGGTTTAAAGTTTTGTTTCCAACATTTAGTTTTTAAGCCGTTCGTTTACTTGTGCAATGCTTTTGATTATTCCTTGGAGAGGGATGTATGAATACCCGTTGTTATGCAACGTAATACCAGGAGCAGAGCGTACCTAGAAGGGCCCAGAGACGAATTGAAAATATTGCGTTGTCTATGAAAGTGCCTTAACTGTTGAGTCTTATCCTGGAGGATAAACCCCTTGGTGTCTATGTAGTAATAAGTATGGATCTGATAACGATGTTCTTCTAGTGCACATCTAAGGTGTACAACAAAGTCCTCATTTTGACAAATTAATCTTGTCGACTTCGTCAAGTCGAATGCATCTAGTTTAGCCCCTAACTGTGAATCAGTGTGATGATGAAAATTGCAAAATGGTCGTATTCACAGGGGCTGAGGTCAGTCTTGTTATAATTCATGGTTTAGCGCAATTAATACAGATCTGTTATACTACAAAACGCAGTCATTGGAACACAATGTTGTCGACAAGTTTCTCTGTATGGAAACAGCACATCAAGTAACATTACAGTTCCTTTGTCCTCATTGCCAAGACGCTTAAATTGAGCATTTTCTTCATCTTAGTGTGAAAACGTTGCTGTACTCTTGTCATGACAGCATCTGAAAAATTAGCACTTTCCACTAGCCTCTACCACTAGTACCAGGCACCGCGAATCTCTGGAAAAATAGTAGAAATTGGCCAAAATAAAGGGAATAGTACTCTCCAAGCTGAGGTTGGTGGGGAAAATCGTCACCTTTTTATATATGTCTTTTTTTTTTGTTGGTCGCTACCCCACCCAACGACCAAAAAAAAAAAAGACATATATAAAGAGGTGACGATTTTCCCCACCAACCTCTGCTTGGAGAGTAGGGAATAGTGCGCCAGGGGCGTTAGTCGGCCAGAGTGATACAGTTTGTCGCAAACGTCCCTGGCGCACTATTCGCTTTATTTTGGCCAATTTCTACTATTTTTTCCAGCGATCCGTGGTGCTTGGTAGAGGCTAACTTTGCACTTCACCTCGCACTCGTACGCTAATTGCTGTCTTCGAATATTGTATATAATTGACCAGAAATTCCTCATCGCCCCTCATTTTAAATTTCCTTGTGCGGGAGTCTACACTTGTAAAACGCACTTCTGTGCAAGTTGAAAAGGATCTGCTTGTGACAAAAACTTCTTCTCTAACAGACTATTATCTAAAGGGAGGTCTTTCTGTGGCTGCACGGTATAATCAAATTGGCCAGGCAGTTTGCCAGACTTCGTTCCGAAGAAAGGCGCGTAGATCGAAAGACTTCCGCAAATTATCAGAAAACGTGAAAGATTAGAAAAGAGTGCAAAGTACCCCCTGCCCTGCACTTGCAACTGCCACAGTACAGCATTAAGGCTTCAAATGTGCAAAATGTTGTCAACAGTTTTTACTTACTAAATATGAGCCAAATCACGGACCCCATCATTGCTTTGTGCACTTTCCCACTACACTTACTATGTCTGACGAAAAATGTACTAAAAGTTTTCAGTTTTATGCCAAAAATACTATAACAGTACAAAAAGGCTAGAAGGATAAGAAAGACGAAATCTATGCCTGGAGAGTATCAAAACCATCATAATCCATGCCAATTCATATCATGCTACATTTAACATTTCAAACCAACCAGAAAAGTAGATTGGCCAAGTAAAAAGATAACAAGGCAGTGGAATTGGTCCGCTAATGAGTCGAGTTTGCCGCTTTCCGAAGCCCTGTAGAGGATTCCTTAAATTATGCTATGAAACACATTCAGTGATCGGACAGCTGCGTTCGGACTTGTTTCTTCGTCCGAAAGTTTTCGGTAGTTGATAGAGGGGTTAACTGGGAAAAGCGCGCACCGCACACAAAACACCACAATATTAATCAACAAATTCATAGTGCTTGGAAAATTCTATTCGCCATCCAAGCCATACAATGATTAACACATGGACAACCATTCTGTATGTAAAGTAACCTAAGGACATCACCGAATCTGTAGAACAAACGTCTTTTGATGTGTGACGAGAAACAGGTTGTCAAATTCACGACAAGGTTTTATCTTTTGGATAGTGACAAATGAACACATGGTGGGAGAACTTCAAACTACTTGCAATCAAGGGCAGGGAAGTAACCTGACTTAGATATGTGAATATTGGAGGAAGACTCAGATTGTTCAAAGCATACAAAGTTAACGTTGGACTACTGTATTATTAAATCTAAATACATGTGTATGGTTGTTCATGAAAATAACAAGACAGATCTATTCTCAGCCTGTCCACCCAAGGAGTTTAAAAATCACCGAAAATCTCATTGGAATATGATGAGTAGGTAATCTAATATTGTAATGAACCAAGTGCGAGCCTGTTGCTTGTAAATATGCATTAGTTTGAGTGATAATTGCCGTGTGGGCACCACCCTCTGTCCCGCCTGCTGATTTACACCCGAATCACAGGTAGAAACGGACGCTTGACAAACCTAAAATGCAAGACAACATGCCCAGACACACCGAAATGCGCATAACAATTATAATGTGAAGTCCAAGGACTGTCCAAAGACCTGTTTATATGTTCTGTATACTTAGGCCATAGCAAGTAATTTTTATGGATGACATCAGCGCGCGCATTAATTTTCGCCCGATTTTGGAAAAGAAAACAAGAAATTTTATTGTCCTCTGACAGTGACGTCTTTTGCCACGCTGGAACGTAAATTGCAGATAATTGTGAAGAAAAGAAACAATTGAAAAAATTGAAAATGTAGGAATCTTGTTTTTTGGGGTCCGCCTTGTTTTGTTTTCGCCCACGCGCATTAGATTTGGAGTCCGCGGAGGATGTCATCCATGAAATTTACTTGCTGTGGCCTTAAGCATAAAAATGAATGAATGACCGTGGCCAAGCCCTTATGCAAATGCAGCTAACAAGGAGGGGCTAAATAGCCTATAGCTAAGTGATCAGGCTGACAATGTGCTTGATGGGAGAATTGGTGGAAAATGTGCCTCTGCTGGTGAAATTTATAGTGCATGTTTTAAACCATTTAAAACAACCCTGATAAACTTTCAGGAATGAAGAAAATAACGTTATGTGATCGACCATGTCCTGTTCTATACGAAAATTAACGGAAATCTTGTAAAATAAAGCCAAAGGTTTGATAAAAGCCAGTTATGTAAGAACTACCCTTAAAAATGTAGCAACATTATAGACAAATATCGATTTTTCAGAGGAAGGGAAGGTAGTATAGACATAACCACAAAGTTGTTGTTAGAAGGTAAATATTAGCAGCTTCACACCAAAAAAAACTACATGTCTTCAACCTCAGGAATAGTTCTTGAAACTAAATTTTCCACCGAAAAATATACATTATCATTTTTATGAAATAAACAAATGGTTGTAACATAACGATATGAAAAATACTAAGACGTAACGATATACATCTTATCTAAATTCCCTGCAAATTAGAGATGTTTTGAAACTTGTATGGCCGACTTCTTTCTATTTTCATTCAGGACCCCAGGGGTAACTCTAGTATGCCTGGACTTCCTTAGTGCACCTAAGTTCCATACCATATGTATCTTCTCTGCGATCTACAGAGGGCTCAACGAATTCCATATATTAAAAACGAATCTTTTTACGCCTTGTTTTTTTTTTGGGGGGGGGTCAGTCATTCTTTTACACTTTGTATGATATTCAAATTATGAGATAAAGGGATAAGCAAAATCCTTCAATTCAAGTCGCAGCGAGAGCGCAGAGCGATTGCCATCAAGTGGAATGGCAGCCTTAAGAAATGCGAGTATTTCAGACGATTTTAGAAAATATTCGTGCCGAAATATACCAACAAGATGACCATGTCTACGCAATAAGCTACAAGGAGCGGTTCACACTGTAACAGAACTTCCTACCGAGACGAAAAGTCTACTCTACTGTACTCTACTCTGCTCTGTGAACGCTAGGTGCTAGCCACAACTTCAAACGGCCGGCACCGCTCTAAAATACGATTGACTTGCGAACTTAGTGTAGGAAATAGCTTTCAGGTAGACATGCTATGCAATATATAATGACAGGGTCTTTTTTTAACCTCTTGTTCCCCTTTAAAGCGGAAAAGGATTTACATTGCCGTATTTTACCAAGACAAGCCGAAACGTATCATTGAAGATGACCCACCCGGTTCACTCCAAAAATGTTTTTTTAGGAGTTACGCGAGTTTGAATCATACCCAAGACTTAAAGGTGACTCGCATATTCACACAAACATTAGTCATCAAAAGGCTTCCTATTGCATTTCATAATGACCTGTCCTACATATACTTTGGGTAGACGAAAATGATAACATGTAAAGTTGGTAAATATCTCCCAAAGACAAGCGTAGACATTTTCAACTACTCATGTCATTTACGTTCATAATCCTGTAGTAAAGTAGACTCTTAGAATAGACTTCATTGTATTGTTTTGATCACATTGCCATACATAGTACCATGTACCATGTTGAGCAATCAAGTTCATTCATTCATTCAATATCCTTTCACAAAGGTGATGATGTCTTTGAAATACCTTGCTACAGAATTACCGTGTATTTGTAAATCACTTGTATGGCTTCGGTGCGAATGTCGCGACACGCGCGGGAACTTTACGGGTACCGACATGGAATATTTATTTGGAAAGCCCCGTAACATAAATTGAAAGAGAACAAATTTTGACGCTGCAAGTGTATATTTCTTGCCCTCTAGACACTCTCGTATCTCGTATTACTTCTGAGTTCTTTAGGGGATGTCATCCATAAAATCAAGTTAGTGTGGTCAAGTAAACAAAGAAGAAGGGGCTTACTTCAGCAACCTTGTACACAGTTGGGTGAGGG